CAAAGGTTACCAAGGAAACCAAGGAATGGAACTTTCATAAAAACAGTTTAGTGGAAAACAGCGTAAGTAGGGCACTTACGTTAATTACCGTTTATAAGTAAACGGTAAATGCGATTTAACCGAAAATCTATACAGTTCTTCATAATACCAAATTGGACAAAATTGCAAAATTTGAAGAAGCTGACGTAAATCTAACGATAGTTATCGTGAACGAAAGAATTGATGACATAGGTCGGGTAACTATTATAGGTGGGATGGGACGAAAGAATTGATGACATAGGTCGGGTAACTATTATAGGTGGGATGGGATGACTGTTGGAAGCTCTGTTCAGGTTATATTTCCTCGGAAAATAATTTTGTAAGCAACAGTTTTTCTTTGAATTTCCGTTGAATTTTCTTCACTCATGCATATTCAATTTGTAATTCTTGTATTTTTGAAAACTAGAGAGTGCACATAGTTCACAGGAGTTTTCTCCGATTTTTTGGAGCAATATTAACTCACAAAATACGAATTCAAAGTTCCGTATTTTGAGATCCCATTTAAACGCGCGTCGCTCGGGTTATCCAATATGGCGTAGTATACTATGTGCAATCTCTAGTTTTCAGAAATGCAAGAATTACAAACTACTGAACAAGCTCATTGGACCGCGTTTAGCAGAAAGGGACCTAGTCACATCTGCCATTGCCAAATTTATTTGGGCAATTTAATTTTATTTGAGAGAACGATCCTGCGAATTTTTGCGAAAATTTCAGTGAATTTTCAGCAGAGTACGTGGTAAATTCATGGTAAATTCCTTGAAATTGTCAAAGAAATCTGCACAAAAGTCCTCTTGTAAAAAATGTGGCTTGGTCCTCTCTGCTTAACGCGGTCCAATTGAAATACGTATATTTCGTCTTCAGCTATCGATGTAGGATGCGGAATGATTCTCCATGAAATACCGTAACTCTAGCAGAATAATCTCTTGCACAGTAGAAATATAGAGTGCTCCCTCATTATTAATTGTATTGCTTTTCATAATTTACTGATCATTATTTTTAGGTAAAGGCGTACGAATAAGTGACAATCAAAAAGATGGTAGATGGTTGGGTATAAATTACTGTTATACTAAATATCATCATTCAGCATAAAGATCTAGACACGGAGGTAGCAATTTTTTTTTAGCAATACAATAGATTTCAATTTTGTTGAAAGAAATTTTTAGCACTTAGGTTACCATCGTGGCTCAGTTTCATGTATTTGAGTACCCTCACATTTTCAAGAGAGGCAAAATGCGTTATCAACCATTTAGCCTCAACAAGTCCGTTCGTTCTTCATCTTCTCATGTTTTATGGATGCTTGTTGGGAGTATAATTGCGCTTAGCCTTCGTCCATTGTTTAGAAAGTTAAGTATACCCAAAAGAATTTCATAACTTAGTCTATTGTATCTTCGTTTTCTCTTAGTGGTTTTTGAGTTTCCTCGTGATAAGACACTTATTCTTCCACTGATCCGATGATTGTTTAGAAAGTTAAGTATACCCAAAAGAATTTCATAACTTAGTCTATTGTATCTTCGTTTTCTCTTAGTGGTTTTTGAGTTTCCTCGTGATAAGACACTTATTATTCCATTGATCCGTAGAGACTTGAAGTTAAACTTGTGTCTCTTAGGTTGGCCTCAATTTCAAATTTCCTCCTGATTAGTCACCAACTTTTCCTATTTATTGACCATGCAGACCATGTCGGAGGTGTATAAAGAGAGCTGAAAACCAGCAAGCTACCTCAGTACTATTATTCTTCCTACACTGCACTGACTGTGTTTGTGATTTTGTGCCGAGCAAACCTCGCGCTTGGTTAATTTTTGCGTTTGAGGAAAAGTGAGTTCAGCATCATGAAGTTCGGAATTTTGTATTTGATTGCAGCAATCTTGGTGTTTTTAAGTTTTTACTGTGGTCCTGTCAACTGCGTCAAGTGTTTTGGCGACTGCAAAGACAGCTCAGAATGCAACGAAGACAGCTGCCCCATATGCGAAGAAGTCTTTAATGGGGGAAGCCTTTGCGTACCACCTTTATAAATTGACACCGAACGGTGCCTTAGCGAGGGGTGAAGTAAAGTTCAACATGCTTAGAGGATCATTGATAAACAGATTCTTCTTATTCAACAGAAACTTCCCTCACCAATATTCCTAAGCCTATGTATCCTATCATTAATATTGTAATGTTGACTTTTTATTAATTAATATTGTATTTGTGAGCTATTTTCACTATGTTTTAACCATAGAAAGTATTCAGATCGATGCTTTGGATTTTAAAAAAAAAATGTTTTTATTTCGGGATCACCTTCTAATGTATCATATGGTCCCTACAACACTTCAACGAACATCATAAAGTGGTAGAAGAGCCTGAACTCAAAAAAAAACGTCAGAAAAAAAGTCCATTAATTATTGGACCACACTTCAAAACAGTGGCGCGGCGTGAGTGATCGATTATCGATAGATATTTTCCCATTTAAGATTATGGCAAAGAATCGATTATTAAGGTGTTCACATCGAACACCATGTTTATTGATCCTTTTCCGTAGGTTCAAATAAAAGATCAATTGATATGTTATGATGCCCGGAAACCCCGAAACCCGGGCGCATTGCGATTTGCCCGGGCCAATCCCGAAATTCGAGATTTGCTAAACGCGGTTTGAGCTCATTACGAACACGTTCAAAATTCCGACTTTTGCCGGAAAAATCGCGATGCGCCCTAATTTGCAGTTGGCAAATCCCGAAAGGTAATATTCACTTCTGACGCTCACCTCTTTTCCCTGCGATACGTCTTCCGCGGTTATAAATACTCGCTTGCAAGTGTGGATCTGGTTTCGAGCAAAAAATAGTACTTTTCTTTCATATCAATTTTATAAAATTTGTCATCCGTGACCGTCAAGAGGACTCTAATTGTTAGCATTAAATTTTTAACATTCATTTCACCACGATCCACACTTGGAACTGGAATTTTATGTTTTCGCACCACTCCGCGATACGACCGGTCAGGAGTTTTCTTATTTTTTTAACCTTTCGAGATTTGCCCATGACACGTTTGGGTGCATCTCTATCTGCCCCGGCAAGAGCCGAATTTTTGAACTATTTTGTAATGTGCCCAAATTGCGCTCGGCAAATCGCGCAATGCCCTCGAGTTTCGAGGTTTGACCGTAACAGATATATTGTAAAGCACGCCACGCCACTGCTTTGGAATAAGGGGCTACACCATGGGCGTAGCTAGGGGGGTCCTTGCCCCCCCAGAAATCTCGTGGCCCCCCCAGAAAAACGGGATCCTCCATTCCTCACCCCCCTCCGCTCTCTTCACCACGAGAGGTGGTCCCATGGCCCCCCCTAGAGAAATTTCCTAGCTACGCCCCTGGGCTACACAGGGGATCCGGGGGTCTCCTTCCGGAAAGTAAAAAAAAAATTGAACCGTCTTAGGAGCAATCATAAGCTATTCTTACCAAAAAATTGATCAAATTTCCAATATGAGAGATGTGCCATTCATTTCCTAAGCTAAATCCTTCATATTTCTAGGGAGAGGCCAAGTAAACTTCCAAGGAAAGCTAGGCCCCGCAAACGGGGGATCTATTATTTTTGACCCGTCCGATAGAGGCACCCTTGATGACTGGCATCGGCAAGTTAATGGCACATATCCTTTATTTTTTAAATGAACCGGAAATAGTAGTTCCTTATTGCGAGATAAAGTTCATTAACGGTAGAACTTGAGCATCAAATCGATTTCATTTTGCAATGCGGGACTACAGACTCTTGCTTTTTGCAAAAAAAAACAAAAAAAAATGTGTTTGTTATTAGAGCAGTCCATGCGCAAAATAGATTCTCTTATGAATGAGCTAATGATAGTAGCTCCTCATTCCAAAATATTGTGCAAATGCGCCTGATATTGCAATAGGGAACAACTATAACTGACTCGTCCATAAAAGCACCAATTTACATAAGGGAACTACATACATTGTTTCGTAAACGAACCGGAAATAAAGTTTCCTTAATGCAAATAACATGATGGTAGAACAGTGCTGGACTAACATTATTCTGCGGGGAAATTAAGGCTAAAAAAAACCTACCTGGGCTGAAAATTCTTCCCCCTCGGTCTTCCACTGAAATTCATTAGAGATCATTTTATGACTCTTATTATAATTTTTGGATTTTTTAACTTTGATTTCCCCGCAGAATAGCTGGGATACCCAGCTCTATTCTACTGTCATGTTACTTACCGTATTTTGGCCACATTTTTAGTGCTTATTCCTTATCTGACCGCAAAATTTTGTCAAAATTCCGCCCATACCATCCTCTAAAATCGAAATTTAGTAAATAATGAATCTAAAACAAATATATGCATTGCCTTCGAACTCTAGACTGCCTTTGTGCAAATATGTCCAGTTTTGGATTTAAATATTTTTTGCTCCAATCCAATAAGATCGTCTCGAAAAAGGACTTACGATAAAAGCGAGAAAATACCTGGTGATGTTCCAGCTCGTTGGGATTCGGAGAAATTCAGCTAAGCTAAAATTAAACACACTTTTGTAAAATTATTCCAAAAATTAGGAGAGACGGAGTGACTCAAGACTTTCATGCTGGAAAAAAAACCGTCAAATTGTGGGGAAAATATTAGAGTTCCAGTGAACAGCCGATACTTGAAAGAGAATCAACTAAATGGATTATTTAAAAAAAAAACAACTATCAGGATTCTCAATCTGGCGTGACCGAACACTGTCGATTAGACTGTAGCGATTGATGTTAATTCAACGGCTTCTATAATGAAAAATGGACGTTTTGTAAGCTATAAGGGTATCAATCGCTGTTAAATTTCCGTTTTTAGAGATATGGGGCAATAAAAACATTTTAAATGCATAAAAAATTGAAAGAGGGGAAGTAGGCTATAAGCAGACATAATAATACCATTAAAAAATCAATCATGTTGCCAAATATGCCTTCATGACCCATTAATATTTTTTAAAATGACCACTAAAATTCACTCACCGATAAGTTTCCATGGTTCATACATTGAGCAAAGTGCAGCTGTTTGGCTCAATGCTATCGCTGTTATACCATGATTTGTCTTGTAATGATCAATGAGGTCATTCTGCACATAGAATTTTGTTGGCACTCTCATTTTACCATTTTATTCACTTGTTCCAGTTAGGTTTCATTTACATCCGAAAAATGAGCCGCATTTGTCAGTATGGATCAGTATAAGTATCGGAAACTTCAGGAGATTAAAATTCTAAGTGTAAGTGTGTCCTTGTGTCCTCCATGATGCCCACACGCGGTTTTTGAATATCCCAAAAAACTAGGTTCCTCTCCGTTGATCGAATTATTACGAATCGACTCTGGATGAAACAGCCTGTATCGATTGATATCAATATTAAACTTATTTTTAATGTGACGATGCACAATATTGCCACATTGAAAGATTCGTATTGATTTAATGTTAATGTTGCCAAAATGTTAAATAAATTTAGTATTCTCGCAAACTTCAGGAGATTAAACTTTAAACATGAACGGGTTTTAGGCATACTGTTATTTTTAGACGTATTTATGCTAAGTGGAACTATGTACAAGTGGAATGATGGGGTGTGCTCGTTAGTTGAGGGCCATGAGAATGAATGAGGATTTTAAAGCGCCAGTGACGTCAGCGGCAACGAAGCCGTCTCCATTGTCGTTCTTGCTCGTCTTTAACTCATGAGCCCTGTCCACAACGCTCTTGTCACAAGTCCACGACTCACGAGGTAGCGCTCAGTTCCTTTTGGCTTAATGTAAAATCACGCGCTTTTCCATTTTCTCAAAAGGAGCCATATCCACTTTAACATTGTTTCTTATCTGCCTCACCACGAGCCCACCCCATCTTTCCACTAGCACATAGTTCCTTTTGGACCGCGTTAAACAGAAAGGAACCAAGCCACATCAGCTATTGCCAATTTTAACAGGGTGATTTCATTGTTTACAAGAGAACGTCTACGCAGATTCCTTTGAACATTTTCAGGAATTTGCTTTGTATTATTAAGAAAATTTACTGAAATTTGCACAAAAATCCGCACAACCATTTTCATGTAAAAAATTAAATTGCCCGATTAAATTTGGCAATAGCTGATGTGGCATAGTGCCTCTCTATTTAACGCGGTCTTTTTAGCATGAATACGTCCTTTGATCTAAGGAGTCGACTTTTTGGACGTCTTTCTATCAAACGGAACTATGTGTATTTAGACATGAGTCCTGGGACCTATGAGAGTACGAGTACATGCACCACAGAGCTCTCGTCATTATGCACACATAGTTCCGTTTGACAGAGATAAGTCCATTCGTATCCTGTATTCATTATCAGCTCCGAATCATTCTGATATCAAATCAAATCCTGCTTATTCAATTTCTAGTTTTATCTTATCAATGCTTGGTAATCATCAAGGAGTGAACTAAGGAGGGCAGGGCTTTTGTTTGCTTGTCAGCACCATGCAGCTGCAGGTCATAATTTCCATAGGAGTTGATAAAACCTCGGATGATTCCTTTGATTCTTGGTGTCTGGCGGCTGTAATTCCAATTGCGTCACTCTTTTTTCCATGACCAAATACAACAATCACTAGGACAGTAAGAATTAATGACCCTATGCCATCTATTAGTTTTATAGTTCATGGATGATCGATATTGATATTTCTCCATTTGAAGCTATAGTGAAGAATCGATTATCAGGGTGTTCGTCGCAAACACCCTGTCTATCGATCCTTTTTCGTAGGTTTCAATGGCAGATCAATCGACAAATCGCAATGGACGCCACGCCACTAACTCCAATGGACTATGCAGCATAGTGACGTGCTTTTTTAGGTGCGCGGTTTTTTAAAATCTGTTTGTACAAATAGATCCGTTATTCTGTTGAAAGACTTTCTACATTTAATTTGATAATCTTCGAATGAATTCGTCCCATTTCAATAGATTTGATTTTACTAATTTATTCCAAGATGCTTTCCCAGAGATTTTAATTTTTTTAAGCCTTCGGGTCTTAAAATTGTTTACAGTGGAATCCATATTTCAAAAACCGAGGCCTGAGGGAAAAGGTCAATGACTGTAAGCACACGTGGAACAAAGCCGATCGATATGTTAAGTAAAACAGAGAGAAAAATGTGAGGCTTCAAATATACTCTTTCAATACAGAATATCATAAAATATTGACATAAAACATTTTTCTACTTCAGTAAAAAACCGAAAAACGGGGGGAAAATGGCTTAAGTCCAAACGCCACCCAAATAAATTTCGCACGATAGAAGTTTTGAGTCAGCTAATAAATTACTGAGCTTAACAGGAGGAACATTTGATAGAAGGAGTTTACAAAATTAACAATCTATATTTGTGGAATACATGTATAAAATAACAGCACAAAACATTTTGCCACTGAAGTTTTCGGTTCCTAAAATCAGCGTGCAGTCGGAGCAGCTGAAATTTAAAAGGACCTGCTAGTAACTTCTTTCAAACTGAGGCCATTATGAATAAAGTGAATTTCATTTATTTTCTTCTGTTTTTATTTTTTCTAAATTTTCCCCTTCTATGTGTAATTTTAAGTGAATGAAGGATTTTAAAAGCACACGGGTAAAATCTCAGTAATTATCGTAATGATTTTCTTTATTTGGAGAGGTGACCGCTCCGATTTGAAAAGCCGCCAAGGATTCTAAGTCTGTGTTGTCATCCAGATATAGATTTCTTTCTGATCCACAAGGAAGAAGTTGATCGCTACCGGTGTAAGGTTGTATTTACATTGTAGGTATATTGCAGAAAAATTCCTGAAAACCTCTCGCTCCCAAACTTGTCTGAAAGCAAATAATAGGTCTTGACAAAGCGAGGAATCAGTCATCCCAATATTCTATGTCTATTAAATAGTCATCATTGACGTAAGGCCGTCTGTGGCTCACTAGGAAGAAGTTGATACCAGCGTTCCTGAGACCATATTTCTTCGCTATGTTCTTGGCTGAGAAGTTTGATAATTTTTCTCGCTCAAGAATTTGCCTGAAATCAGTTAAAAAAGTGCCCATTCGCATTAATTAAGCATGCGTTGACATTTCACCGACTTTAGTTAATAAAGTATGAAAAGTAACTGATGATGACGAACAATATAAACTGTGAGAAGTTCTATGGTAAACAGATAGTTATGATAAAATTTAACGTTGTGTAATTAGCCAATCCTCTATGTACTTACTTCATTTTGGGAGTAAACGTTGATGCCTTCTTAAAAATATTTGTAACTAAATTTCCATTGATGGTAATTTGAGAATTTGAAATAAGATGCGCAGCACCACAGAGCAAAATTGATCTCAGATATAAAATTAAAGTTCTCAAAATTTTGTGAAAGTCAGGTAAGATCATTTCTTTTGAAAATCATAATACCCCCCCCCCCTGAAGGAATGTAACTTTATTCTAAAGCTGCAAACTAGACTCAAACAAGTCACTTTTTTACGAAAATGGTGCCCTGCACATTTTTCGTCAAAAATTTTTCAGATTTTTGCATGAGTTCAGAGGAAAATTTAGTGAGGTTTTCAATTAGAAATTCTCCTCGTAAAAATACAATTAGCGCGGGAAAATCTGGCAACATTGAACTGCAGTTACGTTCTTTCGTGAGAGAAACGACGATACGTGACCATTACACTTTATACGAGACTTCTGCACATAATGTGGCCTTGCAAAACCTCTCAGGAATTTACCATACATATATAAACAATCATAAGTTAGTAATATAGTTAAATGACTTTAATTAGTTTCTCTCCACCACAGGTATACTTTTACACACTGATCGCAGAAATAACGTCGATGGCTAAATGTAATAGATATCGACTGTGAAATTACTAGACAGTTTTTCTTGGTTCGTGACGTCGCAGGCTTCTTTTCATACTTTAATTTCTGTACGGAAAACTATTGAGCGCCAATTCTCGAAACTTCCGTGATTTTCCTTCTCTGTTCAAAGAAATTCTCAGTGAGAACTTCAAGTAATAATACTGATTTGTTCTCCTTCAAAAAAGCAAAATGGGAGTGGATTTTTTTAACCACCGCAAGCAAGATACGTGGTCTGGTTGTCTCACCGTCTATATATATATCAACATAACTTATATACGTAAATAATGATGCAATGGCGTGAGGTACTTTGCGATATATCGATTGATATGCCATTTTAAACCTATGGAAAAGGATCCATAAATACGGTGTTCGCAACGAGCACCTTAATAATCGATTCTTTACCGCGCAGCTCAAATTAGGGAAATATCGATAATCAAGCATTCACGCCTTGCCTCTGAAAGAATAAATGTATTCCACTAACGTGTCATTCAATCGCGACTCATCAAATTTAATAGGTTCTTCGCCTGGCTGCTTGTATGCGACAAATGTGTATCTGTGAGGTTCTAGAAAAAAGAGAAGACACTTCTGATGATGAAATTGCAATTACTTCATTAATTAATTTATTGGATTATTCAAATCCAAGTAACCAAAGCTGACAAATTTGAAATTTTTATCAGTTTTATAGTGACGATGTAAAAGTCAGGCAATAACTTAACACTTGAATATTTCCTATACCCTTTCAAATTCTCTGCTTACCAGACCTCCTACTTCTCCTTGAGGAAAGGGAACCAAAAGCTCGTGTTAACATGGGAAGTAAAACACGTACGAGCACACGTTTTTGCTTGATACATTTTTGTGTTAGTGTTCCCTGAGTCAAATGATCACATGTTTGGGTTAGAAATTTGTGTTATAAATCTACAACCTCGTTGAAAATTACTCGCCAGCGGTCAGGATCGACCCTGGAGCACATCCGTGGTAATCCAATGCGCTAGCCGCTAGCCACTCGCAAGTCGCCATGCACTTCTAAGTACGTGGAGGGAAACAAGAGTACATAAGTTTGGCAGGACCCTGTCTTCTTTGGCTGATGTCTAATGATCAGATATTAACCTACGGTTTTGTGTTTGGTTCAATTTAACACAAAATTGTGTTGAGGAACCAAGTCCTTTAGGTTAATCTGACAAAAAAAGAAACACAAAGTAACACAGAGTACCTAACACTAACTAGAGTTCCTTTATACCCAGAGTTAAGACAACTCACTTTTGGTTGGGCTGAAAGTGGCCTAAAAAAAAAATCCAATTCTGATTGGTTCTCGCTCATGGAGGCCGAAACGAGTGCACCAAGATGGCGGTATCTCGAATGTGAACAAGAATAATGAAAATATTACCTAATTGTGGTTCATCAAGAGTAAATTGTTATTTCCATCGGTCCAAAATGAAAATAGATTAAGAAATTATTCACAAACCAATCTCATTTTCTTTTTAATTGATCAATTTGTTGATGTTGTTGTTTTTGGATGACAGACATCGCAGGATTCCTGATCCTTATCCCTCAATATCGTTCGTTTGGGTGCACTCGTTTCGGCCTCCATGGCCAGCCAAGGCCGGCTGCCAGTCAGCTGATAATCGAGTTGTCTTAACTCTGGGTATAAAGGGACTCCAACACTAACACTAAAAACGTAAATTGTTAACTGAGTACCTCACTGAGAAAAAACTATGGCTTATAAACCTATTAGAGGTAAATATGGAACACCACTAATAGTAGTACCTCTACATATAATAATAGCACATATACCTTAGTTATGGTCTCTGTACCTTAATTAGGTACAGAGACCTTAGTATGGTTCACAGACCGAGAATCATTAGTTTATTTAC